ATAGATTAGGTAACTTAGTTTTCCCAGACAGGGTCTACTTCTATTCATTCTAATAAAACTAATTAAGGAACTTGACTATTACTGGAAAATGTCAATTGTAAGATATTGGAAATAACTGAGTCTAAAGAGCACCAAAAAGCCAAAATAATTTATCCAATAATACTCTGAAAAATGTCTCTTAGTGAATAAAGAATGACACTAATTGAGCTGTTCACTATCAAAGCCTATTGTCAAGTTTATAGGGACTTGTAGATAGATAAAATAAGTTTTCTTGGGGGACTGAGTGAAAGGTGAAGGGATTAAGAAGCATAAATTGGTAGTTATAAAATAATCACGTGGATGTAAAATAAGGCACAGGGAATATGTCAATAATATTGTAATGTCTATGTATGGTGCCAGGTGGGTACTGGAAATATCAGGGGAAGACTTTGTAAAATATATGATTGTCTAACTACTATGCAATACATCTGAAACTAATATAAAATAACATAGAATATAAACTGTAATTGAAAGATAAAATTTAAAGTTCTTTTAAAAATGTTTTCTTATACATATTTTATAAATTTCTTACATGAAATTTTCTTATATATATTTTAATTCATATGGATTTGTGTTATGTGAAAGTTAGCATGACTGGCTAAATTTAAATTATACCTATAATTTATTGCATACCCAAGAAGAAATACAGTTCAGTAAAATATTCACCCTCGTTTTCTCTAGTATGGAAAAAAACAGCCCCATATATAGATATAGGCTTACCATCGCTTGCCCTTCCCTGTACTTTCTATGCTTTTTATATTGACTGTTTATATAAAGTGGAAGTGGCACTCTAAAACTGATGGACGATTCCAGTACAATCATAAAAAATGGAGACTTATGCCTGGTTCCATATTTGGATGGTATGCTCACCAGAGCTTCAATGTAATTCTCTGCAGGGGGCACTGTTGTCCCCCATACAATGCTAGGGGGCACTCTTAGATGATAGTTGTCCTAGATTTTTATATTATTACTATTTCCCAGCAGATGGCAGTATGATACCTTGAGGAAGGGGACCTGGTTTGTTGTTATTGCTTTCCCTGCTAATTCCAACATGAGGCATCATGGAGACTAGCGATGGGGCTAATTTATTACCTTTCTCTGGATGAGTGTGTCTCAGAGAAGTGAAGCAACTCACCCAACATTCCTGATACCCAAGGCAGAAACACAGATTTATTTTCTTCCCCCCATTTCAGAACCAGATGAAGTAAATACTCGTGGGTGGGAAAACATCATTTACATACATAGATGGAATCTTAGAAGGTAAGAAAAGGCTGTGGCCTGGATATCCGGTTTCCAAAGGGTTTCTTTAATCCTAAGGAAGAAACTCTTTTTTTTTTTTTTTAATTTATTTATTTATTTTTTTTTACATATTTTAATGATTTTTTTTTGCCCCCCTCCCTCCCTCCCCCATAGCCCCTCCCTCCCCATAGTTTTATGTCCATTGGTTGTACTTATATGCATGTATACAAGTCCTTCGGTTAGATAATAGATAATAGATAATAATCCTAAGGAAGAAACTCTTAAAAGCTGCGTACTCCTGGCATAGAGTGTTCTATCCCTGCCGGTGCCCCTGGGCATCTTCACAGACTGTCAGTGTTAACCAAGAGCAGGAGTTCAATGTGAAGGCGCAAATGCAGTGCTCTGGATCCTGGCCAAAAGAGGTCCTAAGAGAAGAGAACTATGGAAATAAAAACTCGCACATCCCAGGTCACACACTGAGATATACAAAACTGAGAGCTGTCTAATAGCTACAGCGATTACTGTACCAAAGGCAGCCACAATCGCAAAATTCTTTAAAGTTTTATTGTATTTCACGTGGTGGCAACATTCAGACAGAACTAAATTCCCTGAGCGGCAAAACTGCACCTGACTGAGGTGAGCCCTCTTCGGGCCCTCATTTTTTCCTCTTAGTGTGAAAACTCACATGTTTCACTGCGGAACTGTTAGTGTTGGATCATTCAGTGCCACGCATGACCACGCTGGGGTGGGGGAAGCAGCATTTGCCCCCACAAAATATATATATATATATATTTTTTTTTTTTTTTTTGCGGGAAGGGGGGATATTGATTATTTTAAGCTGGTTGTTTTTAAGAAACAAAAGACTCAAGAAGAGCCTTTTTCCTTCTCCTTGCCTACCCAAAGGAATCCAGGAAGGGAGCTATCACCGTAGCTTAATATGAATAAGTGTGGCAGCCGGGGAGGAGCCGAGCCAGGCCTGCTTGGTAGCCCACCCTCTGTGCCCCACTGTTGTGGCCCAATTGGAATTTGTTTACTCAAATGCTCACTATTTCTCACCTACCTGTGCATTGCTTACATTCCCTCTGACCTCCCCCTCCCCTGCCTTCCCTTCCTTAGCCCAGAACTGCCCCATTTGTCCTCAGGTTCCCTATTCTTATGGAACTCCCATATGTACACATGTAATAAACTTGGCTATTTTCCCCTATTAATCTCTCTTGTATCAATTAAAAAAAAAATCCTCACCTGAGAATATTGAACTTAGAGAGAGGAAGGTAGAGAGAGAACAGCTATGTGAGAGGGAAACATCAATTGGCTGCCTCTCCTACACACCCCAACAGGGGCCGAACCTGCAACCTACATGTGTGTCCTGATCCAGGAATCGAACCTGTGACCTTTTAGCGTACAGGACGATGCTTCAGCCAACTGAGCAACACCAGCCAGGGCTCTCTCTTGTCAGTTTAATTCTTAGGCAGGCCAGTCCGAAAAACTAAGAAGGAATAAAGCAGAAGTTCCCCCTCCCTTCAATATCAACCTGCTTGGATTTGTGTACATTTAGCAAAAAGACGTGTGAAAGTATTACCTACAAAGAAGTGGGCCTTTCAGTCAGGCAAAGGTCTATATGAAATTCATTTTCTTCCATCCAGTGCCTATGCCTTCTTATCTTGATTCAAATGAAACGTTGTGAAAACATTCTCTTTCAGCAGCCCAAAGCACTGAGCAAGTGCAGCATATGTTCAACCGATGTAGTAGTAAAAGCAAGCCTTTTAATAAATTAACTTTATTCTTACTCTAACCTCTTATTTATTTCTGCTAATTTCATTCTTTATTCATCATTTCTGTAGAGGTAGGAAATTATAAGTGCTGTGTACCGTACTATACAAATAAATGATTGCTGGAGCCTTAACAGCCTCTCATTAGCAGCTATTTGGAAAGCACCTTGAGGGATAACATTCTGAAGCTTCAGCTCAAACTTAATCACCCAACAATCTTGTTGAACCAGATTCTTGGTTCAGTAGATTTGTGTGGAGCCCAACAATTTGTAGTGCTAAGAAGCCCCCAGGTGATGGTGATGGTGATGGTGATGGTGATGGTGATGGTGATGGTGACGGTGGTGATGTTATCCAGATAAAATTTCCACCAGTACTGGATTAAAGTATAGCACAGAAGCAAGACTCAAAGTAGAAGGCCATTTTATAATGAGATTATCTTAAACGCGGACTCAACACAAAACATCTTATTTGAATATGCTAAAATTAATTTATGTTGGGATCAGAATGCCTTGGTTTTAGATTTATACCTGTTCTGTATTTAATCATATGGTTTCCAGGCTAGTTAGTATATAGTAAGTCGAAGTATTGCTGTGAAATATAACCACTATTCTTGAAACTATATATTGTAGACTAAAAGAGGCCACATACTAACCTGATAAACTCAGGGAAGGCTTGCAAAGACGGCCTTACAAACTCAGAGACCTAAAGTAACCACTGATAGGTCCTCCCTTCCTCCAACTGATGGACGGAGAATGACGTAAATTCCACCTGCAGCAGGGCATTCCTGAGCACTGAACCACCAATCAGCACCTGCCAAATACCCTAAGCCCCCATTCCTAAGTTCCTAGGTTCCTAATCATGTGCCTTATATGAAACCACCAATCAGCATGTGCTGAGTGCCCTAAGCCCGGTCCCCTCTCTTTCCTCCCCTTAAAAGGTGCCTGCACCCCGGCCCTCACTCTCTTTCTCCTCTGGAAGCAGCCAGCAGTGGTACTCTTCTCTTCAATAAAGCCTATGTCCTGGCATCCTGGTCTCCGGCCCCCTCTGTTTCCTCTTTCAACCACAAAGGGTGGTCTGAAATGAAAACCTTTTTACTAAAAGCGGTTTATGGCAAGTAATCATGTCCTCGGCCAGCATCTTCCCTGACAAAAGTCAATCTGTACCTTCACTGAGACTGTCTATTGTGTCTTTTTGCATCTACAATACCGTATCCTTAGAATGTCAAAGTAATTTTCCTTTCTCTGGACCCCTCAATGCACAGGCACTACTCGGTGGAAACCACAAAACCCCTCATTGTTACTGAGTTCATTGCTGACTGGTAATTATCCTGTGTACCTACTAAAGTAGAAGATGTATGTATCTATCATTTTATTTTTTTCAACTAACCCCAGGGTTTCCCACTTTGCTTTTTCCCACCTCCCTAATCTATCACTAATGGATTTCATGTAACCCACTTACGTCTCCTCTTTTGATTATAATGTATAAAATATGGTGCAAAACTAGCATTCTCTGGAGCATTAGCTCAATCCGTTGAGATTTTGCTTCCCAGCAGCTGTCGACAGTTTGGCTCAAATAAACTCACAAGAATACACTCATAAGAGTGTTTCTTATGCTGACAATATACAATTGCTTAAGATGGAAAGGATAATTTTCTGTCATTTCACTTGTATAGAAAGTCTGAATTCTTTTGTTAGACATGCATCGAGCTGTCTTCTGACTGAGATCTGATCTGTGACTCCAAGAGAGAAATTTCTTAAAGCAATGCACATGAGATGCCTCAACACTTCTTCTGTTGTGTCTTTATAAAATACTGCACTTTCAAGTTGCTAATTAAAGAAGTAATATTTAAAAAATAATAATAATCTGGAGCAAAAATGTAGGAATAAGAAATCCCACAACATGCTATGCAATCTGTAAGAAATTCATTCTAATGCCCTTAAACAAAATTCTTACCTGCATAAGCTGCTGCTTCAACTTCTGTATTTCTGAAATGTTCAGCTCGCTGAATAAGTCGGACACCGGGTGCAGAGACTCTCCTTTCCTCAGAGTGGGAGTCCGATAGTCTCCGTTCAGTTTCACCAGAGGCCCGTGGATGTGCCCGTTCATTTTGTCGTCGTTGTTCGGCTCGCTCCCGTCCTCCGCAAACTTGAGCCCGTCCACGGAGATGCTGAGGTGGTTGTCGTTGAGGGTGATGTACTGGGACAGCTCCTTCCGCAGGTTGTTCTTTTGCTCCCTTTCGTTCTTCAGGGTCTCCAGGGCTTCCTCCAGTTGGTGCTCGGAGATCTCTTTCAACCGGATGGCGTCCTCCAGCTGGCTGTTCAGCAGCACCGTCTCCTCTTCAAACCGCTTAATCTCGTGCTTTAAGCCTTCGTATTCAACCTGGATTAGATAGGACAGAGAAGATTCATAAAACTAAAATTTGCGTCTTACAAAACTGCCATTAGACACTCTAGTGGACCTAATCATTAAAAAAAAAAAAAAAAATCAAAACATTCGTCTACAAAATAAGTCTATAAATACACAGTCTATTAGTGTATACCCTTACGGTAACACAGGATGGTTTTTTTTAGAAATTACATATCAAGATAAATTCAATTCTTAGCAGAGATGAAAATGTATTCTGTGTTTGGATTTCTTTTATAAGGTCCAATGGTCAAAAGGGGCATGGCTGGCCGAAACCAGTTTGGCTCAGTGGATAGAGCGTTGGCCTGCGGACTGAAAGGTACCGGGTTCAATTCTGGTCAAGGGCACATACCTTGGTTGCAGGCATATCCCCAGTGAGGGGTGTGTAAGAGGGAGCTGGTCGATGTATCTCTCTCATAGACGTTTCTAACTCTCTATCCCTCTCAATTCCTCTCTGTGTAAAATCAATAAAATATATTTAAAAAGGGGGGGGGGGCACGGCTGGCCTAATAAATTGGGGATTTTTTTCTTTAGTGATTGTTTATGAGACTATTCACAACCAAGATTTCATCATCACTATTACTTGTTTTCTTTAATTATTAATAATGAAGTAATTTTTATACCCAGAGATAAATTAGTTAAAAAGATCACAATAGCCGAAACCGGTTTGGCTCAGTGGATAGAGCATCGGCCTGCGGACTGAAGGGTCCTGGGTTCGATTCCAGTCAAGAGCATGTACCTTGGTTGCAGACACATTCCCAGTAGGGGGTGTGCAAGAGGCAGCTGATCAATGATTCTCTCTCATCGATGTTTCTAACTCTCTATCCCTCTCTCTTCCTCTCTGTAAAAAAATCAATAAAATATATTTTTAAAATAAATAAATAAATAAATAAATAAATAAATAAAAAGACCACAATAAAACATACTTTCAATAAAAATGTTTAAGGGTAAGATGAGGAAGCAAAAAAAAATTTTATGTGCTTAAGGATAGAATCTGGAATAACTATCATGCAAATATATATACACACACACACACACACCTATATACATACATATATATAATATTGTTATCAGTGTAATATTATTTTGAATTATATCAAATAAGAGCCTGCTCGAACACCCTCTTGATCATGAAAGCACAGAGAAAAAGATTTCTACCCTAAACCAACATTCCTTTCTTGGGGCCTTTTCCATGGCACTTATCACGGGCACTTTTCAAAAAATATTTTATCTCCACACTACATTGTAATCTCCTCAGAGAGGGGAAAGATTTTTTATGCACCAAGGTGTCCTTCCTAATGCTTCAGTGTTTGCTTGTAGTGTTTTAACAGAATTCTGCTCTACAGTAAGTTGCTGAATAAACTATTGTGGATAAAAAATTAATAGAAAAAGTAATATAATAAAGTCATTATAATATGAGGTACTAATATTACCTATGTGTTTAGTTTTTAAAAAATTTTTGGTTTTATTAGTTTAAACTTGTATTAAAAAAAAAAAAAACTTTTAAAAAGTAAAATATAGGGATCATAGACCATTATCACTTTCATACATTTCTAATTCTCCCCCATCCCCACCATCCTTCTTCACATAACCTCAATGGCTTGTCTTGCAAAGGTTAGGATAACAGTTTTCAATATAGTTTCAGTTAGGATGTAGGTTTGGCTGATGTAACAGAGGCCTAAATAAGAGCGATTTAGTTGAGATAAGAGTTTGTTCCCTATCATGTAACAATATGGAAGTTGTCAATCAAGGACCACTAGAAGTCTCTGCTCTATGAGGTCAGCCAGGAACCAGGCTCCTCCTAGCTTATTACAATAACTCTCATTGGTCCAGATGGTCTAAGGTGGCTTGCCATTTTTATTATGTTCCAAGCAGTGGGACAAGGTAAGGGGGCATGCCTTCTCTCTTTAAGGACCTGTCTCAAAGGTTGTCCATATCACTTCCCATATCCCACTGGCCAGGACTAGTCATATGACACTTGGTTGCAAGGGAGGTGACGAGTATACTTTTTACTCTGGGTAGATTATGTCCAGTTAAAAACTGGATACAATATTGGGAGAAGGGATAATGGATACTGATGGACAACCAACACTTAACTGCTATACGGAATTTCACAGGTCCATGTATTTTTGTAAATAAAGTTTTACTGAAACACAGTCACGCTCTTTTGTTTACAGATTTTCTATGGCTGCTTTTCACGCTCCAAGAACAAAGTGCAGTGGTTGCAGGAGAGACTATACTGCCTGCAAAACCTAACTAACTATCTGGCCCTTAAAGAAAAAGTTTGTCGACTCCTGGGCTTGATGACATTAATTTAGTGTTTTGTAGATTTTTTTTAAATTCTGTGATTTGTATTCAATTGATAGGAGACTTCCTATGAGACCTGATCTCTTTCCATTTGGGCAGCTTTACTCACTCCACTCACTGGTTCAAACTCCTGATATTTACCCAGATATTTTTGTCTTTCTCTACTTAGGTGAGGGCTAACATCAGAAAACTCTTATTTATCCTTCAAGATCCAAATCAGGAATCTAACCCTAACTCCGGTCTTTGTTGACCAGCTCAGGCTGACAGCTCTCTCCATGGTGCCATCATTGCAAGGAGGCATCAGATAATTAGAGCCCAGCAAACTATATCAACTAAGACACAGGGTGAGAAGGCACTTAAAAATTGGTGTCCAATATTTTAAAAACAGCATCAAAGTAAATAGTTACCGTGAGGGGGGAAAAAAATCAGTATTTTGTTGAGATTCCTTATAGCAAGTTCACAGTTGAGTAGCTCTTTTTATTTTTTATTACATGGGGGTTGGGAATAGGTACCATAACCTTTTCAAAGTCAGAAACTTTAAAGATCTTAATGTGGCCCTGTATTGCCAAACCTAACATATAGCTTTAACATGCAACTACATAAGTGTTCTCTGAGCCAGTGACCACATCTTTGTCCTTAAAAAAGTATATGGCTTTATAGAAAAATACCCTGGAAACACTGGTTCACTGAAGTCAAACTGAATTGAATAACAGTTCCCTAGGTCTCTTATGATATTATTGCCTGATACAGAAATATATCCCTGGAGGAAATGTTTTTCATAATAGAGATAAATTGAATTATTAATTTTAACAAGTATTATAGATAACACATATTTGAATGCTTTAGTTCAATATGTGAGATGTTAGGGAAATGAAATTCATTATTTCCCCCTCCTCTCACCATCATGTTTCTAAAAATTAAAACTAATGTAATTTCCTGCCCTATGCCAAACAATTGTTTTAATACTGCAACCAGGCAAATTTTCCTATCCCTCAGCTCTGCTACCAATAATAGGACTAGGCATGAAAAACTTAGCTGCTTACAGGGTCAGCTCGCTCCTGGAAGAGGAGACCCAACTCACACAGCTTCCTCAAGACTCATGTCAAGATGCTCACTCTGTTGTACTTTCCAACTCAAAGCTATTGTTATAAACTCAGTCTGTCCCGACCATTTGCCACCTGGCAAAACCCAGTCCAGATCCTAAAATCCTACAAACACTCTTCCCTAATGCTCCCATTTTGAGACATTACTAATGTTTTGTCAAGGTGGCTTCTTTTACAAGAGGTCTAAAAATCAGCTTTGCTTCATCAGTGGATTTTTTTGACAGTTGCCTTGACCGCTTTTTATCGTTGCTGCTTTTCCTATGCTTCGCTTAAAAAAAAAAAAAAAAAAAAGCATATTAGGTGGAAAATGCATTCAGAATGTTTTCATTTGGTACACAGAACCAAATCAGCACATGGAGGGATATGGCTCAAGTTTGCAGTCATTTGTTGATGATGTTCTATATATTTCATATTTAAGACCACATATAAAAAATGGTTTGGTGAATTATAATTTCCTCGCTGAGTAAATGTAACAGAGACTTAGAATTTATTCTTTTCGCCAGCAGATATTTATTTAATACCTTCCACAGGCCAGGCTCTATTCTAGGTGAGGTGCTATATCATAGTGGAAGGAGAAATGGAAAATAAACAAACTAATACATAAAAACTATAAAGGAGCCAGTCAATGAAAGAGAAACACCACATGACCTCACTCATTTATGGATAATAAAGAACATTATAAACTGATGAACCAAAAGATAGATGTAGAGACAGTAAAGCAACAAGCAGACTGTCAAATTACAGCGGGGAGGGGAGGGAGATCTGGGGGAGATAAGAGATCAACCAAAGGACTTGTATACATGCATATAAGTAAACCAATGGACACAAAACTCTGGGGAGGGAGGGTATGTATGGGAGGGGAGGGCAATGGTAAAATATGTACACAGATAATAATTTAATAAAAATTTTTTAAAAAGGACAAAAAAACTATAAAGGAAATGAAAAGTGCTATTTGAACAATATTTTAAAAAGAAAATAACCCTTAAGGAAAATGGAACTTCAGAAGGAAAGAATCTTCTAGTTCTTTGAACTAAGTCTTATATAATGCTAACAGCTTTGCTGCTGAGAGAAACATCAAACCAGGCTGGAGAGTGCATTTTGTATAGAGAGCTGCAATTCAAAGCAACAATCAGTTCAATTTTGAGGTTGAAAGTCAACCATCATTATCTGTTTGGGGAAAAAATCTGTGGCATAAATTATTATACTTAATATTTCATTAATTATATACTGAGTTTATAACAGATGCTATAAATAAAGGCCAACAGTAGGAGACAAAAACCAAACCAGTGTTTCCTTAATTGAAAGAGACTTGTGATGTGACAGTATATCCCTCTGTCAGGGAATAAGCCAGAATGGCCCTTTGTAAGGAAAATTATGTCAAAGTAATGAACTAGACACTTAATTGGGAAATTGTCATATTGCATCTAGAAAATAAAATTAAAGAGATGTTTACATTGTCCTATTTGTGTGTGTTTTTTTTTTCTTCTTCATACTTCTGAGTTAAGCATTCTATTCCCATGTTTCAATTACCGGTGGAAGGGCCCGGGTAAACTGTAAACAGCAATCTGCCAGACTGCTCGTACAAACTCCCACCAAAACGGCCTCTGGGTTAATGAGGACTCATAGGATACCTTGGCAGTCTTTCAAGAATACGTAATCCTGGCCTAAATTAACCTCCTGAGTAAATGAGTCTGCCACATGCAGTGATGGGAGGTCCCACAGCGCGGCTCTGGGCGCACTGCTGCCTGTGCAGAGAGCACTGGGGAGTTTTAGGAATCAAACAATGACTGCTTTAAATATTTGCACTTCGAAGGCAGGGAGTATTGAGGGGAGGGGGAGAAAGAGACCAACTGAAGGACTTGTATGCATGCATATAAACACAACAAATGGACACAAGACACTGGGTTGGGGGGGTGGGGGGATGAGGGCATGCGACAGGGGGTAGAGGAGGCTGGGGGAAGGTCAATGGGGAGGGGGAAGGAGATATATGTACTACTATATGTGATATTTTAAACAATAAAAAAATATTAAAAATATTTGCACTTCAAGTATATTTGCTGTAAAGCCTTTACATACTTCATGAGTGACCAAAATACAAACAAAAAAATAACAACAACAAAAAGACCACAAAAAATAGCCTTCTTATTTAAGAAGTTTATGAGAAGCATAGTTTCTAAAAAATTATTTGAAGTCTAATTTTCTCCACTGTGAGCTCAATGACCACAGTCAAATCAAGAGCTGGTATTGAGAGCCCTCTGCATGCGCATGTGCGCTCACATACACACAGTGATTCAGACTTAAAAGGGAGGGAATAAGGTAAGATCACATGGTGGCATCCTGGTAACCCTTTTTTCATGATCTGAAGTCGATCCTGCACTCCTTAGAAGATATCTTGTTCCCCTACATTCCAAAAATGGGGGAAATGGCAATGATCAGAAATCAAATTGCAATTGTATCAATACCCGAATTTTTTCCCCTCTGGATATTGCCTTTCTTCTCTTAACCCCTGTATCTATCAAAAGCCATAATAGTTTGGGATTAAGCTACCAACTTGAGTAGAAAGAAGAAGTAGAAGCATACATCTGGGCTGGCCTTTAAGTCTACTGAGGGCAAGAATGCTATTCTAGCCATAACCAGTTTGGCTCAGTGGATAGAGCATCTGCCTACGGACTCAAGGATCCTGGGTTCCATTCCAGTCAAAAGCATGTACCTTAGTTGCAGGCAAATCCCCAGTGGGGAGTGTGCAGAAGGCAGCTGATCAATGTTTCTCTCTCATTGATGCTTCTAATTCTCTATCCCTCTCATTTCTTCTCTGTAAAAAATCAATAAAATAAATATATTTTTTTTAAAGAATGCTATTCTATGGGTTTCATATCTTTCTAGCCTAGCACAGCACCTGGTATTTAGTGTGTTGACCTGAACTGAGAGGTTACAATAGCGATCAGAATCGAAGTTGTGGCTGAAGAAGCACTCTGAAAAGATCTTTAATATACAATCCAGCTTCACCTAATTACTTGATAAAATTGTATTCATAAATAAATTCTTCTAAAATTACAGGTTCAAGAGTGCTATAGCTAATAAAGGAAAATTAAACATTTAAGCTAAGCCTTACTATCAAAAAAATTTATTTAAACGTACACATGCCATCTGTTTAGTCAGGTTACAGCTGAAAAAAGAAATCAGGCATTTTCTTTTTCTTATAATTCTGTTCTTACTGCTTTCTATTTCTTAATCCATTTCCTTATATAACGCAAATGTCATTTTCAGAAAGAGAGAGAGAGAGCGAGAAGAAGAAGAGAGAGAGGATTGGTGGGAGACCTTAAGTCTGTAATACAAAACAAGCTTATGATCAGGTTTTTAATAAGTTGTCAGGTTAAGTTATTATAATACATGATTTATTCTGAAATAAATTAACATAGAGCTAAAGTATAAACTAAGATTTTTCTTACCCAATGAAACTTTACTGTAAATCATACAACTTCTAGGTTTGCCTTCTAAATCTTAGCTAAAATAGAAGCACTGGGAAATTTCAGCATATAAATATTGTAGGGAGATTAAGGCTTATTTTGACAGGTTCCTAACAAAGAAATAAAGAGAAGATTTAACCTTAATGGTCCAAAGACGTGGTCCATCTGGAGTGTAGCCAAATAACTTCTTAAATCTTACCTGGTTCTGTTTTAACGTGGACACAAGCTTCTGCAATGTGATATTTTCTTCTTCCAGTTCAGTGTAGTCCTGAAGGAGCCGAGCCTCTCGGAATTTATATTCTCGAATTTCATCCTTCATCCGTATTCTCTGCAGCTCCACCATTTCATTGTTCTGAAACGATACAATAAAGCATCAATACAAACCCTTCTTATTCTAAGTATGAAATGTAACGTCTGGGCAGTAAATAATACTCATGTGCCATTTAAGAACGGCAATAGATGCTAAGAAATTTGTTTCCTGGCGATTTCTTTGTGGCATGAGCATCACAGAGTGCATTCACACAAACCTAGACGGTCTAGCCTACAACACACCCAGGCTCTATGGTACAGCCTATTGCTCCTAGGCTACAAGCCTATACAGCACATGTGTCAAACACAAGGCCCGCGGGCCAAATCCGTCCCGCCAGGCCTTGCAATGTGGCCCGCACCGCGCTGTCATCACTGCACTCGGCTGCGTTTCCATCACAATGACAGTTTATGACTGTTCAGTAAACCATTCGACCCGCAATTTAGGCTGGATTTTAGATTTTGGCCCCTTCTCTGATTGAGTTCGACACCCCTACTATACAGCATGCTACTGCACTGCACAGAAACAGCACAAGAATAAATAAAACAGCAGAAAATTATTCAAAGAGACACAGTAAATACAAGATGTATGTATTTTATAAAGGAAGTTACAAAATGTTTTTTGCTGCTGCCGACATAACATGGCATACTGTCTTAGAGCAAACTTTTTTTTTATATAAGTAGGAAGAGTACATATACTCTAAAATAATGATTAAAAGCATAGTATAGTAAACACGTAAACCAGTATAATAGTCATTTACTATCATTATTGAGTATTATGTATTATATATAATTGTATGTGTTACACTTTTATGTGATTGGCGATACAGTAGGCTTGTTTATTTTATTTATTTATTTATTTATTTATTTTTAATATATTTTATTGATTTTTCACAGAGAGGGAGAGAGAGGGATAGAGAGTTAGAAACATCGATGAGAGAGAATCATCAATCAGTTGCCTCTTGCACACCCCCTACTGGGGATGCGCCCGCAACCAAGGTACATGCCCTTGACCGGAATCGAATCCGGGACCTTTAAGTCCCCAGGCCGACGCTCTATCCACTGAGCCAAACCGGTCCCGGCAATACAGTAGGCTTGTTTATACCAGCATCCCCACACACATGTGAGTAATGTGTTGTGCTACTATGTTAGGACAGCTCTGATGTCACTAGGTGATAGGAATATTTTTTAATTCTAATTTTTTTATCCCAAGGACATGGTTTTTAAATTTTATTTGAGAGAGAGAGAGAACAAGGGAAGGGGTAAGAAAGAGAGGGAGAAACACTGATGTGAGAAACATCCATCAGTTGCCTCTCCTAAGTGCCCTGACTGGGATGGAACCTGCAACCTAGTTACGTGCCCTGACTGGGAATTGAATCCCCAGCCTTTGGTGGCCAGGACAGCAATGGTAATTTTTAAGCTCTATTGTAACCTTATAGAACCACTGTACATATGCAGTCCATCGCTGAGCAAAACATTGTTATGTGGCACATAACGGTACCATAATTTCAAAGCAAAGACGGCACTTCAAAATGCCTGCGAGAACTGAGATATGGTAAGAAGATAGTGATCACAAAGTAACAGGTGCTGCTAATACCACTGAGGTTTGTTGTCTACATTCAAGCAGAAGAAAACGCTAAGTTTCAGTCTGAGTTCAGTGAAAATAGGTAATTATTTTTTCCACCCACATTTCCCATCCTGAATTCTGTCCACCGTCACCAAGGACCCTGATTAGGAAACTCTTCTGCTTCTACATGTCTCTTAGGTCTCAGTTCAAATGTTACCTCCTCAGAGAGGCTTCCCTGAAGAGCTAATATAAAACAACTCCCTCTTTAATCACCATCACCCTATGGTTTATTTTATAGATCAGCATCTCACATGAAGTAGGCACTCAAAAAATAATGGTTTTGGGGAGGGTGCTGGAGCAGGGTGGAGGGGATCAATGGAGGACATTTGGAATACTTTCAACAATAAAAATAAATTTTTAAAAAGCCAAAAAAAACCAAACTCATCTTAATTCCACCATCCAGAGAGAACACTGTTAATGCTTTAATCTGTATCCCTTAACACATCTTGTCTATGCATATCTGTACATATGTTTAAGAAATGAATCTTACCACGTAAAGATATTTTACAGCCTATTTTCTCACTCAATAAGTTGCATAACTCCTTCCAAGTTAAAAAAAAAGTAGTAATACTAATAGTTGAGGGAATAGTGTGGCACTAATCATTACTTGAAATTGGTTCTTTACCTACTGTTTACACTTTTTACATTTACTAAATTTCCTTTTCATCTGAATATAATAAACCTTTCTGTGTTGTTCATTGATGTGTTTAATTTCTGTCACATTTTAGGCCCTCATATTGATGGGATGGAAAACAAAACAATAAGCAAATTGTTCAACACAAAATTTTAGAAGAGTATTATTGCATGGATGATGGTATTCTGTCTTGCATTGTTTTAGAGGGTGGGAACAAAGGGGAAATAACGCACCTTGAACTGAAATGTGCCTAAGTAACTAGATGTTTAATTCCTCTTCACTACATAGTCTAGTGACATGGGGACAGAAACATTACTTTATTCCCTGCTCCCTGGACAATACTTTGAGCATACATGCTCAAAATACACGATAAAAAAATGGTAAAAGTTTGGCGATAAAGCCAAATTATAAAACTTCATTAAATTATTTTATTTTGCAAAAACATGAAACCTTGATATTTTTATACTTCTCAAAAGATCTACTATAACTGAGTAATATATAGTTTTCCTTATTTATGTGTATAACAACATGAGGAAGCCTGATAAATTGGATGCCAGTAATTTATATAAAATTATAAAGAAAATGTTAAGATACAAGAGATTCTGTAAAATGTGTGTACACTGTAAAAAATGTAATGACCCGAGGCCTAGTTTGTATATACTGAGAATTAACCATAAAATCTTATATAGTAAGATAGTAAATGTCAAGATAATTTTAAGACCACGGCAAAGTAATGAGGATCTCTAACCAATAACTCATAAAATAGCTAATGGAACTCCTGATGCTAATTAAGAAAAATCTTGGCTGGGAAACTGGTTAAGTTGAAAGGCTTGCTATCAATAAAACACAGGTAAGACCCAGCGAGAAAGAAAACTGGTCTTATTTATTTTGCTAGAAATCCTTGTTTTGATTGCCAAAGATTAAATTCTATGGCTATATTCTTTGCTTCCATAATAAACTTAAAAGATTGCTACTGTTGTTTTGTGCATAGCTCATGATATTTATCTCCCTCAATTTTTTCCTTACTGGGATACGATGGTGCTGAACTCTATTAAAGCAATTCCATGAAGAAAAACGAAGGTGAGAAAAACAAAGCATGAGAGAAAGGGGAGACAAGGGCACTACCAGGGACGGTGTTAGCCTTTGCCTTTCCCCTCCAGAGACCTGAGTCTCAGCTTTTCCTCAGGGGAGCGGGGATTAACCTGAAATGTGTGGGACAGACTGGCCTTATTATTTTCATGGCACCTGAGCATAGCAGCATTCTTAACATTTCATTTTAATGAACATGGAAAGGATTTCCTTCTGTGGGAATCATAAATTCCCTCCACTATTGTCAAGAAGAAAATATCAACGTGAACACTTATTACCACACACCAGAGTAATGTATCAAAAATAATCAAGCTGAAACCCGTTTGGCTCAATGGATAGAGCGTCAGCTTGGGGACTGAAAGGTCCTAGGTTCGATTCTGGTGGAGGGCATGTACCTTGGTTGCCGGCATATCCCCAGTAGGGGTATGCAGGAGGCAGCTGATCGATGACTCTCTCTCATCGATGTTTCTAACTCTCTATCCCTCTCTCTTCCTCTCTGTACAAAATCAATAAAATATATTTTTTTAAAAATCAAGCCTTCCAGTTCTATGGCTCTTCGTCTTTTATAAATTAACTAAAGGCCCGATGCACAAAATTCATGCAAGAGTAGGCCTTCCTTTCTTCTGCTGCTGACGCCAGCTTCCCTCTGGCACCCGGGACCCGGGCTTCCCTCACAGCCCCGGCTCAGTCAGGAAGATGTCGTCCAGAAGGAAATCCAGGAGGTCATCCGGAAGGACGTCTGGTCTAATTAGCCTCTTATGCTTTTATCATTATGAATTGTATTCATTGCCACAGGAGATCTTAAAAATAGTTTGTGTGAGGTAAGTGACTGACGTTCCTGTTTACTCATCTATAAAAAATGGGTATCCTAATCCTTAATATATGGTCACTGTGAGGACTTAATGATAACACATGGGGATGTGGGCAGGGGTGCGAGACACAGATAATTTATCATCACCGAACTAGTGCTGCTACAAAGATCCCCACCAAAAAGCTGAGTGACCAGTACTCCCGGGGACAGTAGAGAAAGCTTTATAAAGGAAGTTACATTTGAGCTGAACCTTGAAGGGCGAGCAGTTAACTACATGGATGAAGAGGCAGATAGACTTTCCAGCCAGAGGTCAACTTTTGCACAAAAGCGGAGTCAGATTTGTGGGGAGGGCAGTGCTACACTCCCCAACAGTCAGAACGAACATTTCCTGGGGGCACCAGCGAAGCTGGAGGGCTGCTAGAGAGGAAAGAGAGGAATTCAGAAAGATCTAGAAAAGTGCTCATTACTTTTAGCTTATGCCTAAGTGTGGGTAATTTCCTACCATAAAACATTAAATTACCGATTAGTGCTGTAAACCTGTGTGACACTGGGAGGGACCAAAATGTGTTCGGTGCTTGGAACCTTCAAAGGTCTTAACTCAGCTGTGGCTCAGGAACTATGCAGTCTCGTGTCAATGGAACAAAGAACTTGAGACAGTTTTTGCAGGAAATTCTATGCTAAACAAAGCAATGTGGGGAACCGGGAAAATCTTTTAAGTGAAGCAGCCGTGTGATTCTGTAGGAGGATGGGGGAGGAGCTATAAGAAGAAAGAGCCCCAGAGAATAAGTGAAGTTGGCTCTGTAACTGCCCAAAGCAAAGGATGGTGAGGAATGCGGAGGAACATCTCAGTTAGATGGAACAGGACTTGGTCATTGATTGATGTGA